GAATCAAAATCTTTCCTCCTTAGAGTTTCTGTCTTAATGTAAATTAGATTATTTTTGTTATTAAAGCTATAGTAAAAATTGAAAAATTGGCAAAACATGTTTTTAATGCAGTTGCTGATTTATTTCTCTGATCCTTCAGAATTAGATGTGTTTTTATTACAGTTCTAATAAAAGGGGATAATTTGCATTTTAACACATTTGTGTTTAACACTATGACTTTAAAGAGGAATGTTCTTGACTCAGTTGTAAGCTAATGATAAGGAAAAAATAGGGGTGTTTTCTTTTTAATATGCGGTGCTATTGTACCTATTTTAAATGGTAAAAATATTGCATAGGTTAAAAATGAATTTCACAATATGTTCAAAATATAGAAATATGTTTATATGTGTTTGTGTGCATGTGTGCATATGCATTATGTATTATACATAAATTCAGTTTTATATTCTGCAAGCATGGTTTCATGTTTCTGGATGCTGCTGGACATCTGATTCCTTCAAACAGATGAAGAAGTAGTAAACAGCACTTGACTTAGCATTAGATGTCTGTAGGACATGGCATGTTGCAAGCCGATTTTTATTAACACAAGCTCAGTCTTGATGCTGGGGAGTGTTGACATTCACCAGTCCTGGGTACCACAGTGAATCCTCCCTTCCCATCTGGGGGAGACTATCACATTCCTTGCCCAAAATGTCACTGCAATTATATGGTGTCAGTTTGAGAGGCTATCATGAGAATTCAGCTCTCTTCCTTTTTGTGGGGGACAATAAAATGATTAAACCAAATGTGCCTTGCGAAGTTCTATATGGACTGAAGAATTTCATGCTAAATTTCTGTTTCCAGCTGTTCTCCTGACATAGATGCCTGTAGTCAGCTTACTGCTTGAGTCAGTGATCAGCTCTCAGATAACCATCCATCAAATAAGTAGCAGTTCAAGTATAATTGAGAAGAACCGGTCCAGTCATAATTGTTGTTGTGTTTCATGCGGTATTGTATTCCTCCAGGCCATGGCCATATACCATATTCCAGCGGGGATTTGATTTGGTGCTGGGAGAACAGCCTTCTGACAAGATATTCAGGTAAAATTCAGCATCAGATTTGGTTGTGTGCTATCATAGAAGGCAAACAGCTAATTAAGGGGGATCCAAACACTGGAAGTCCAAGGATTTCACTTAGAGGTGTTTCCCTGCATCTAATAAGATTTGCCTGAAATTGAACTTGAAACATTGTGAATATGAAATATATGCAGTCTCACTGAGCTATAAACGAGTAGTTCCCTACCCATTATGTCTAAGTTATTTTTTTCTGCATTCTAGATTAGGTTTTCTCAAATGACCATAATCTTGTACAGCTTGTTACTGACTGCATGAAAACTTCAGTAATTGGGATTGCATGGAGAGGTACATAAATTCTGTCTGAGGGACATTTTGGACTTTCAGTTTAAAATTTAGAAAGAGTGGGAAATAATTTGGGGTGAAATGGCAGTCAGAAAGGCTTTAGAAGAGTGGATGAGCCAAATGGTAGTGGTGGGCAGTTTCTCTTTGTCATATTTGCTGCCAGCAATAGCAGCATTCCTCCTGGAATGATGGCATGATTTGCACCACTCTCCCCTCTCATGGTGTTCCATGGTTTGGGGGAAGATAATTGTGGCTAGTTGCCTACTAATAAGGGAGAAGATTTCTGTTGTAGGAATGACAGCAAAAATACAAAAAAAAGGAAAACAAGAACCCCTTCCTGCTATCACTGTCTGTGGTAATGCCTCTTTCCTGCTTGTTAAAAGCATTGCTCTTCCTTAAAAATGGAAAAACTGCTGTTCTTTCTTCCCTCCTCTATGCATGTCTCCTGCAAATTCTTCTAGACAGAATTCACACCTTACTGAAGAAAAAGAAGCATAAATGAAATAACTCAACATTTAATAAGGAATATCAGTGAAAGATATATGGGCCCTCGACAGTACTTATTTGCTACTTTGAAACTGTAGAACTGAAAAATGTTTAGATACATTAATTGCATTTAATCTCACAGCAAATAGCATTATGGTTATAGGATACAAGGCATACTGGAGAGAAAGATGTAACAGAATTGCAGACTAGGTCAAGACAATTTAAATAACCTCTCTCTGCATGCTACAGAAATAAATACAGTAGAAGAATACTAATTTCTCAGGTTCTTCCATATAGATTTAATCAGTTAACCGATTATCTCTCTGCTGTGGACGCAGATTCACCTACACTCTTGGGGAAGGCATGTGGCTACCACTGAGCAAAAGCTTTGTGATCCCACCTGCTGAATTGGCCATCAATCCATCCGCCAAGTGCAAAACTGATATGACAGTGATGGAGGATGCTGTAGAGGTCAGGTACGTTCCTTCCATAGATGGAATCTTTGGAATGTTTGGAAATTATGAAATGGTGCAATTCCAGATGCTTTAAATTATATACAATTATGTACAGATGGCCATTTTGCTGGTCCAGCTCTATTTTGTTTCTGTACTAATAATCATATGCCTACATTTAGAATATGGCATTTGGAAAAATGTAATAGGGAGGAGGGGACATCTGGCTGCAAGTTCCCAAAGTGTTGTTGTTCCTTTGTTCTACATGAGATAATGGAGCAGAGAAATTATCTAGGAGGCTTCTGAATTATGTCACGTTAGTTTCACTCATAGAAAAGAAGCAAAAGGGAATAATTCACTGATTTGCTTTAAAGTATTTATTTTATGTCTTTAAATGTTTTATAATTTTAACCTGCCTAATAAGAAATATCCTCTGGGGAAGTTATGCAAAATTTATATGTAGATGCCACTTTTCTGCTAAAATAATTGGACAATTTATCATTTAAAAAAAATCCTTCTAAAACAATGATGGGGTACATATCATGGGACAAACATGGAGCAATCTAAAATCAACATCAGAAAAATAGTTCAATTAAAATAGAAGCTATGATCAATTAAGATACATTCTTGACCTATCACCTTAATATATGGTCTGCTGAACCTGCCTGAAGAGTGTACTCCTATTTTTAAGGTCCCTGCATTTCAGAAGTTCTCTCTCACCTACCTCACTTCCTAAGGCAAGGAAATATGAGCGAGGTTCATATAGAAAAACTTATTTTATACTCTCCTTTCTCTAATCAGATTAATAATATACTGTGGGCAGGAATGAATGAATCTTGTCAAACTCACTTCAGCTCTAGTATTCATTTTTATATCCTTAAGTTTTTCTTGGCCAATTTTTGGCATTTTTGTTGTTATTAGTTTAAACAAAACACTGGATCAACATTTGTTAGCATTTTAAAAACATTTTCCCCAAGGAAGCCTTTATGTACATTTTGTGTATGTTTTTGGGGGGAGATATTATATTGCAAAGTTCAGAGAAATAAGCATTTTGCTACAGGAGTCCATTCTGTCTATGTATTTATTTCAAAATGGCAGAATTGGCAAGCTTGTATCGAAATGGGAATACACCCAATGTCTCACCCTTCTCAGTGATAGCCCTGCAATACCATATCAGGTTCTGAAAACCCTCTGCAACACTATATACATCAGTTGCAAAAAGAATTGACTAAGATTTTATGGCTGCCTAAAAGAAGAAAGGGAAGAAAAGTACTTGGACAGAATATGATGGCCACCACAGAGCTTTACCATAATAAAATACAGTGGACTTTCTCCACTCCAAGCCTATACAGCACACATTTTTCCATCACTCTCAGGAACTATACTGAGAGATCATTAGTTCAATCAGTGCAAGTTTATGGTTAGTAAACAAACTCTGAATCCATTTAATCAGTGATCTGTCCTAGAAATATGCATACTAAGGAAATAAATGTCCTTGCAATGTAGTTCTAATAATAAATGTGCAAAATCTATGAAGTGACATTCATCAGTCAATGTAATGGAGCCCATTATTGTAAGGCATCTGATATATATTCATATTTCTTTGGATAAGTCATTATTATGATCAATAATACCTTGTTAACTTCAAGTTATCTCTGTTACTTAATTTTGCCTCTTCTGTGCCTTTTATCACATTCTACTTTATAATAACAATTTAGATTGTAGACTTTTCAGTCAAATAGTGGAGAATCTTATATCTTCTACCTGTTGTGGGGTTACCTCCCATCACACTTTGAACCACTGGTGTGCTGAATTATTGTTATTTCTCTTATTAAGAATAATAATTGTTATTATAATTGCAATTGCGTTTTATTATGTCACAGGGAAGAACTGATGACTTCCTCCTCCTTTGATAACCTGGAGGTTCTCCTAGATTCTTTTGGCCCAGTCCGGGACTGCTCCAAGGACAATGGGGGCTGCAGCAAGAATTTCCGCTGCATTGCAGATCGGAAATTGGACTCCACGGGTTGTATGGTTTGTATGCACTTCATATGGAATTATGAAAGGACTTCTTGGAGAAATGAGAATAAGACAATAAGGTTCCTTGACACATGGAGTTCTCTGGGATTTGAGCTTGTTGATCCAGAGCATTATAATTCTGTAGGCTCCGTGGCATCCGCATACAACAAATGCCGATCTCTTATTTTACACAGGGAAAACAGAGGATCTCAGGATTTAGTATATTTCTGAGATCCTCCATTTGCCTTGTGTAAGACAGCAGATCAGCACAAATTGTGCACTGTGACCCACTCCACGAACATGGATAACATAGCGCCTTATTTTTCTAAGACTGATCCCATTTTTCAGCTTACAGCACAAAACTAAAACCATGGAAAGCATTCCACGCTCCTGCTTTCTCTTGAATATTAAATTCAGTAACTGTTCTTCATTCTAATATATTTTTAAACATGCATTTAAGGCTGCCTTACATACTATGCAGGGCAAACTTAATCTTGCCGTCCTGAGAATCAAGTTACATTTACATTAAGTCTGTACCATGCACCTTTGCATCCTGTTTGCAATTCATCTTAAGCAGAGGTGAGCAATCTAGCTGTGCCAGCCTATGGCCTAACTTTATGTGGCCATCAGCATAATTTCAGAAGCTCTTTTCAACTGATCTGTTCAGATGTCTGATAAGAGCTTTCTTTCCATTCCCTGCTATGCAAAGATAGAAGGAGGTGTCCAAAAGAGAACAAGAATGAAAGTGATAACTGGGTATAAGAAAGTAAAGGAAAAAAGGGGGAATGGTAATGGCAGAAAGATAACTTCGGCCTGACCCACTCCCTGATTCAACCCATCGCCCATTATTTCCATGCAACCATTAACAAAGTATTCCTGGAGGAATGCGCCTGTTGTCCCATAAACGTTGTTCACCCCTGCTCTAAAGAAAGCTTCTAGGCCCTGATCTAGATCATGATCAGATAGGATAAGGGAAATATAATGCTTCCCTCCCCAGTGACTTTCCTGCCAAATTCTTCCCTTCCCACTCAACCACCTCCAGTTAAAGAAATGGGGGGAAGCCTCTATTAATTTATTTTTAGAGCAAAGAAAAACAAGAAAGGAAGTGGCATGGTATATAATTAACATAACACAAAGTTTGATGCTCTCTATGCACCTGGCAGGAAGAAGCATTTATACTTGGCATCCTAATGTGTATATTTGCATGATAAGAATTTTGCAAACATCTGTTCATGTGCTTGCACTTTACATTTTCAGTAATAAATGTAAAACAAAGTAGATGTATTTTTAATGTAGAAAGAGATCCTTAAATGAATGCAAAGTATCTTGAGAATGGGTGACTCATTTCTTGATTAGCATAATCGGTTACAATTTTGTTTAACCGTTAGAAAAAATGTTCTGGAGCTCCAGAGATATTGTCCTTTGTATGATGTTTTCTCATTAGATCAAAGTTTATTTATCTGTCTTACTGCATGGCCTTAGAGTGGTAGGAAGACTATAGAATGCAAAACAGAACACAATCCAGATTGCTGCCGCATCAGCCATCAAAGAGGCGAGGAACATACAAATTATCACGGCACAGTCTACAAATTCTTATCATTCAAATTTGGATAATGGATTATGTAGTGCAAAAATAAAATCCCTGATGAAGAAGCCTTTAACTAGTATGTCCTGTTTGCCCTTCATAGAAATTGAAATAATTTTATTGTGTGCTAGTGTAGCATTGTGTCTTAGACACAAACCTATGAGTTCAAATGTCTCCAAATTCATAAAAATTGCTTGTTTGCAATGTGAGGATTATGCAAAGTGAATGGATTAAAAAAAAATCAAAGTGATTTGGGATACAACTGAAGAGACTAATTGCTGGAAGGAATAGTGTATTGTAGACATTTCTATGGGAATGATTGTGTCATGTTGAGCAGTGGAAATGAAATAAATGCTATAAATGCTAGCGTTCAAGGGGAAAAAGTGACGAAAGGGAAATCATAAATGTTATGAGAATATCGAAGAATTGGTAAAGCTGCAGATCTAACAAAAAAAGGTTAAAATATGGGTGTAATTTCCACATGGACTGGCTGTATGGCTTGTATAATGCTGTGTGAAGTCTGAACCTGTGTCTGACCATTGGGAGAATGCAGTTATTCTTCCCTTTTAAATAGCAAGAGTAAATGCAAAACCTACAGGTTGATTAGTTTGCTACATGTGCCTGGGAATATGTTTGGCAGAATTCTGATTTAATGAATAATATTGGGGAATAAGATATATGTGGGAAATGCTTTGCAACTTGATGCTGAGTAAGTGCTATGCAGATGAGTTTGTTGCTCTTCAGCAGTTATTGAGAAACATCAATGTGAGAAAAATATATTAAATATTTATTGATTTGGAGAAAGTATATCGTAAAGTGAATAGGCATGAACTATGCAGTGTTTTGCATGAATATGGAGTTGAAGGTTAGTTGTTGAATGTGATAAGAACGGTGATGGAGTTTAAGATGGAGTTATACATGAGAATAAATAAAATGCTTAGTGGATGGTTCAACATTGAGCAGGGGGGAGATATGGATATGTGATATCCCCTTGGTACTTTATGCAGAAATATATAAGGAATGGAGAGTCAGTTTGGTATAGTGGTTAAGGTAGCAGGCTAGAAACCGGGAGATCATGAGTTCTAGTCCCACCTTCAGCACAGCCAGCTGGGTGACCTTGGGCCAGTCACTCTCTCTCAGCCCTAGGAAGCAGGCAAGGGCAAACCACTTCCGAAATCTTTCCAAGAAAATTGCAGTGACTTGACCAGGCAGTCACC